TGTTTTGCTATGCAAAATCTTTTCAGTATGATGAGGTCCCACTTGTCTGTCATAGTTTTTGTCATTTGCTTTTAGGGATTTGATCATGAATTGGTTGCCTATTCCCATGTGCATAAGTGTGTCTCCTACATTTTCTTCTATAATTCTTATAGTTTGAAGTTTTACTCTTATTTTATTTTATTCATTTTGGGGGGGCATCAAAGTTTCACTTTGTCATTCAGGCTAGGGTGCAGAGGCATGCTCAGGGCTACCCCAGTCTTCGCCTGTGGGCTTAGGTGATCCTTCTGCCTCAGCCTTCCAAGTAGCTGGGACTACAGGCCACACCACCATACCTTACTAATTTTTTTATTTATTGTAGAGATGATTGGTCAGGCTGGTCTTGACTCAGGCAATCCTCTCGCCTCTGCTTCCCAAAGTGCTGGGATTGCAGGCATGAGCCACCGCCCTCAGCGATTTTTGTGTTTTTAATTTTCCTTTGGAATCCTTATAACATCTTGCTTAAAGAGGATTCCCTCCTTAACTAAATAAATAAAATCCTTGATATATGTTCATTTTATATATCTATTAACTCATGATTTTACTTAAAAAAACAAAACTATCTTTGAACATAAATAATGCTAGAATCAGAAAGATAAGTTAGTGGTCTAATGGAATGGTCTGATTGCATCTGTACCAGATTGTGAAAGCAAAGAGGGAGATAAGTAAATCAAATTGACAAAAGTTGCTCAAAAAGATAAATTAAAAGGACAAAAATTGAATGTTGTGGTAAGAAAGAGAGAAGAATCTAGAAGAAGTCATTGTTTCTGTGGCAACTGAAAGAGTGAATTATGTCATTTGTCAAGATAAGAAATAAAGGAGAAAAGACAAGTTGATGGACAAATAAACACTAAATTAAACACTGTCACTGAGTAGTCAATGAGCTTGCTTTCAGATGTGCATAGAAGCCAGTACCATGCTATTGGCCATTGAGAAAAGATTTATTGCAAGTAGACTGACAAGAAGACATGAGAAAAGGCTTAAATCTGTCTCCCTGAGCTGGGGGCTGGGTAGACTTTTTTAAGTTTAGGTTAATGAGCTGTGATCTGATTGTATCTTGCAATGAGATGATGCTAGAAGACATGATCTGATTGGATCCTATGAAGGGATGGTGCAAGGGTGCAATCTGATTGGATACTGGATCCTGCCATGTGGTATCCTCTTGTTAATTCAGTCTCTGCTCCTCAGTCTGAGCATTTATGTTCCCTCAGTGGTTGCATGTTCCAGTTATGTGACCTTTAACCTGGGGTTCCATGGCAACTGAAAAACAACACACAATTTTGTAACATAAAAGTTGAACCTGATTGGTCTGGTGAGATTACATCATCTTGTTTTTGTTTTACCTACGGGTTATTCACATAAATTCTGGAGCCTGAGAGAAGTCTGATCCATAGTTAATGTTTGGACCATGTTGCTCTATAGTTAATGTTTGGACTTTGTCAGCTAGGAAAGTGAGTGAGATTATTCAGAAAGAGGGTTTAGAGAAAATGAGGTAATAGAAAACAAATTAAGAAGAAACTATATTTAAGGGACTGGTTTGATGTTCTCCTACTTAGCTAGATTGTGAATACTTCCATGGTAAAATTCACGTTTTATTCATCTTTATTACTCCAGAGCCCACCAAATGTTTGGCACATAATTATAGTTAATAATGTTAACTATCACTAATTGATGTCTACTCTGTTTCAGTGACTATCCTAAGTACTCTCTCTATATTTTCATATTTGTCCTCACAGTAACTCTATGCAGTATTTTGCAGATAAAGAAACTGAGGTGCAAGAGAGGTTCAATAACTTACCTTGAATCATACAGAGGGTAAGTAAATGAGCTAAAATTTAAATCTGGGCAAAACTGTTTCCAGAATCTGTAATCTTAAATACTGTGCTACACTACATATATAATTTAATATGTATCTGCTGAAAAGAAAGAAAAGGAGAAAGAAGAAAATACGGAAGATAAAAGGAAAGATAGAGGAGAAAATGGGAAGAAAATAAGGAACAAAAGAAAGAAGGATGGAAGAAAGGGAGAGAGGGAGAAGGGGAGGGGAAAAAAAGAAAAACATACATTAACTGGGTCCATCTTTGTTGATCAGAAGCATCTGAACACAAAATTAATGTCTTGTTTCTACTGCATCTCTAAGCCTTTGGAACAAGACATCTTCCCCAGTAAAATTTGTTTCTATTTATTTATTTTTGTTTGTTTATTTGTTTTTCCTTGAAGTTCCTCCTCTAATCAGATATTAACAACTGATTCTGTCTACCAGAAAATCCAGTTTTCCCACCCTGAATGCTCAAGCATAAACTACCCTGAGTTTTAATCTCTGCTTTGCAGCAATTTGTTTTTCTTCTGTTTCCATCAGCTCCCAACAGGTGGTAATAATGGGATGAGTTTTCAGTGAGAGAAAAGGAGACATTCCTGATACCAGGAATCATACAATATTGCTTTTAAACAAGTTGTACCAAAAAGAAACACATACTAGAGATTTATTTACAGGAAGTCTATCTCACAGAAAATATATTAAAGTATATTAAAGATTTACTCACAGGAAAAAAACTACCTCGAGAGTTTGTGTTATTAATCACTATTCAGCTGTGAAACTGTTCTCTGTGCCCCTTGTCGTGGTCCTGTTTGCCTTTCCTGAAACCTCTTTACTGTCAAATGTTAACATCCAGTTCTTGCTATTAAGAAATCCTGACACTCTTCTTGTGTTTTAAGAAATTTCTGGTATATATTGAGTGTTTAATATATTGTTTTGCTGTTTTGACAGTAGACTGGAATCCTTGTTGCTATCCTTAGTCTCAAACTGCAACAGTGGGTTCTGAGCCTAAAATTGTGAATACTCAGGGACTTGGGGCTGTCAGCAAATCTGTGCCCCCATAACCTATTTGCTTTGTATTTGTATTTGTCTTGCTAACTTGTCTCTCTTGAAGCCTCACTTCACCCCACCAAGCATCTGAATATTTTTTTTTTTTTTTTTTT